TCTTTTTTTTTTTCTTAACATATATTGCATTATTTGTTTCAGAGGTACAGATCTGAGATTCAACAGTCTTGCACAATTCACAGCGCTTACCAGAGCACATACCCTCCCCAGTGTCTATCACCCAGTCACCCCATCCCTCCCACCCCACCCCCACTCCAGCAACCCTCAGTTTGTTTCCTGCAATTAAGAATTCCTCATATCAGTGAGGTCATATGATACATGTCTTTCTCTGTTTGACTTATTTCGCTCAGCATAATACCCTCCAGTTCCATCCACATCGTTGCAAATGGCAAGATCTTATTCCTTTTGGTGGCTGCATAATATTCCATTGTATATATATACCACATCTTCTTTATCCATTCGTCTGTCGATGGACATCTTAGCTCTTTCCACAGTTTGGCTATTGTGGACATTGCTGCTATAAACATCGGGGTGCACGTACCCTTTCAGATCCCTACTTTTGTATCTTTGGGGTAAATACATTTGGGTAACTTTTATTTCTCTTCCTCCTTCTCAGTGGTCAACCAGGAAATGTCATTGATTTAAAAAGGGACTTCCTGATCTACACATTTAGAGCAATCCTTATCAAAATACCAACAACATTTTTTACAGAACTAGAACAAACAATCCCAAAATTTGTATGGAACCACAAAAGACCCCAAATAGCCAAAGCAATCTTGAAAAAGAAAAGCAAAGCTGGAGACATCACAATTCCAGACTTCAAATTATAGTGCAAAGCTATAGTAATCAAAACATTGTGGTACTGGCACAAAATAGACACATAGGTCAATGGAACAGACCAGAAAATCCAGAAATGAACCCACAAGTATATGGTTGATTAATAATTAATATTAACAGAGCAGGAAAGAATATCCAATGGGAGAAGGACAGTCTCTACAACAAATGGTGTTGGGAAAATTGGACAGCAACATGCAGAAGAATGAAACTAGGTCACTTTCTTACACCATACACAAAAGTAAATTCAAAATGGATGTGAGACCTAAAACCATAAAAATCCTAGAAGACAGCACAGGCAGTAATGTCTCTGACATTTGCCATAGCAAATTTTTTCTAGATATGTCTCCTGAGGCAAGGGCAATAAAGCAAAAATAATCTATCGGGACTACATCAAAATAAAAAGTGTCTGCACAGCCAAGGAAACAGTGGACAAAACTAAAATTAGGCAGCCTATGGGATGGGAGAAGATATATGTCTGATAGGGAAAAATCCCTTCTACTTACCTTTTCAGCATTTCTTTGGCTAATCTTGGACCTTTTCTTTTCTATATGCATTTAAAAACAGTTAATCATGCTCTATTAAAAAATCTCATTAGAATTTTTATCAGAATGGCATTAAATTTATTGATTCAACTAGGAAGAATTGACATATTTGTGATATTAAATCTTCCCAGTAATAAACCTGACATTAACTGTTCATTTACATACAGATTTCCAAAGAGTATTTTGAACTTTTCTTCATAAACATTGCACAGTTTTGTTAGACTTATTTTGAAGCAGTTTATAATATTTGTAGCTATTGTGAATGAAATCTTCCTTCCTATTAAATTAGAATTACTAATTGACTCTTGCAAGTTATAAGAATGTTATTGTGTTTTTTTGTTTTTTTTTGTCAGTACTCTATATAGTGATTTCTCTAAACTCTCTTTTTAGCACAAGTTTGTGGGTTTTCTTGGATTTCCTATGTTGACAACAGTATTGTCCACAAATATCAGCTTTTTTTTTTTGGTAACACTTTTTTTCTTATCAGATTGCATTGGTGAGGATCTCAAATACAACAATGAATGATGAGTGATATGCGTTATCCTTGCCTTATTCTAAACTTTAGTAGAAATACTTGTTATTTGTTAACTATTATGTTTGCTATGAAGTTTTGATAAATAGCATTCATTCGGATAAAAATGTCCTCTTTTAGCCCTATTTTACTTAGAGTGTTTTAAATAGTAAATGGCTGTTGTGATGGCCAATTTTATGTGTCAACTTGACTGGGCCATAGGATGCCCAGACATTTGGACAAACATTATTCTGGGAATGTCTGTGAAAGTGTTTCTGAGTAAGATTAATATTCAAATCAGTACACTGAATAAAGCAGATTGCCCTCCTCTCCAATGTGGGTAGACCTCATCCAATCAACTGAAGGTCTGAATAGAACAAAACTGCTAATGTCCCCTCACTTTGACTAAAAAGGAGCTCCTCATGTCTGACTCCCTTGATATCAGTCTTTTCCTGAAACATTGACTCTTCTTGGGTCTTGAGCCTGCTGGCTTTTGATTTGGAATTTACACCATCAGATCTTCTGGGTCTCCAGCTTATTGAATGCAGATCTTAGGATTTCTCAAATTCTGTAATCACATAAACCAAGTCCCTAAAATAAATACCTCTCTCTCTCTCTCTCTCTCTCTCTGTATGATTCTGTATATGTGTGTGTGTGTTTATGTATATGAATGTGCATCTATATCTATATCTGTCTCCTATTGGTTCTGTTTCTCTGGAGAACCCTAATACATTTATATATTATTGAATTATTTTCCCATTATTGAATTTCCCATGTTTTTGAATTTTCCCATATTATTGAATTACTGATATAATCCTGAAGTTTTTCTTCTTTAATATAGTAGTATCAACAAGCCTATTTAAATATTGTCTAATTTTGAAGCATTCCTGAATGTCTAGGACAAACTCTATTTGGTTATGATGTGTTACTCCTTTTATATATTGCTAAATTTCACTTGTATTTATGGGAATTTTGCATCTATAATCTTCAATAATATAGGCCTATAATTTTCCTTTATCACATTGTTCTTGTATGTTTTTAATATTGTTTTACTAAAAATGAATTGGGAAGATTTTACTTCCGTTCTTTTTCTTAGTTGGAGTGGGAGAGAACTTTAAGGTTTAGTAAACTTACTTATAAATCAACATGGGTCTGGCTTTTTAGTATCAATATATGTAGAGGATGGATTTTGGATCATAGGTATAGTTTCTTTAATGGTTATTGGCTTATTTATGTTTTGTATATCTTCTAGAATTAATTTTACCAATTTATATTTTTCTAGACATAGTCAATTCAATTGTAATTTTCAAACATATTGGTATAAACTTATATGTAATGTTCTGATATGTTTTGTAAAAGTTTCTACTCTTTTGGGAGCTGATTATTCCCCTTTTCAAGCATAATGTTATTTGTCAGTCTTTCAGTCATCATCTTTCTCCCTTTCTCTCTCTTTGATCAGTTTTACCAGACCTTTTCTATTTCATTAGTTTTTTATCTTTGTTTATATAATTAATTTTATTAAACTTTTCATTTGTTATTGTATTTATGTAATTTTACTAAGCTTTTCATTTAAAAATATGTTATTAATGTTTAAATTTGTCATTATAACCTTCTTTCTACATTGGGTTTACTGATTGAAGGGGATGTAATAGAAGGGGGGCTATCCCAACATGTGATTGCAAAGCATGGCTTCAAGAAGGAGAACCCTGTGCATTGTTGATGGGGATATAAATTGGTGCAGCCACTCTGGAAAACAATATGGAGGTTCCTTAAAAAATTAAAACTAGTACTGCCATATGATCCAGCAATTCCACTCCTGGGTATTCATCCAAAGAAAATGAAAACATTAATTCAAAAAGATATATGCATTTCTATGTTCATTGTAGCATTATTTACAATAGCCAAGCTAGAGAAACAACCTAAGTGTGCATCAATGGATGAATGGATAAAGAAGATGTGGTGTAGATATACAATGAAATTTTACTCACCCATAAAGAAGAATGAAATCTTGCCATTTGCAACAACATGGATGGATCTTGAAGATATTATGCTAAGTTAAGTCAAAGACTAATACTGTATGATTTCAATAAGCAAATGAACAAACAAAACAAAACTCACAGATACAGAGAACAGATTGGTGGTTGCCAGAGAGGAGTGGGGTTGGGGGTGGGCAAACTGGGTGAAGGTGGTCAAGAGGTGTACACTTCCAGTTAAAAAATAAATAAGTCATGGGGATGTAATGTTAGCATGGTGACTATAGTCAATAATATTGTATCACATACCTGAAAGTTGCTAAAAGAATAAATCTTAAAAGTTCTCATTACAAGGAAAAGAATTTTTGTAACTTTGTATGGTGACAGATAGTAACTGGATTTATTGTGGTAATCATTTCTTAGAGTATACAAGTATCAAATTATTATGGTATATACCTGAAATATATGTTATATGTCAATTATATCTCAATAAAAAATTAAAATTTAAAAATAAGAGCTAAAGACATGAATTAAATCTGTCCCAATTTAGGATATTAAGACATATACATGTGCACATACATATGTGCTGCTTTTGTTCCAATATCTTAAATTATCTATATTTGATATAGCACTTATTCTCAAAGTGGTTTCAGCATGAGTGTTCTTCCTGTATCATCATGTAAAATATAGTTGCCTAGTTACTGAGTAAAATGATCATGAAAACAATAGAGAACAATACCGATGAATTTTTATGTGTAGAAAAGTTTATTAGAAAGCAGAGAAGCAACAAAACATAAGAAATTCACTCTTTTAGAAACTACATAACTGGACCCCCAGGTCTAAGGGTATGACTGAATCCCAGGTCAAAGGGTATCAAATCAGTACTGCACAGGGGTTACAGATAATATTCACTTTGTTAGGAAGGATAATCTAGAGCCCCTAAGTGATAAGGAAGAAAGAGAAATTTAGAGGAGTGGGCTAATTTTTTAGCTGATGGATTACAGATTAATATCCATATTTGGCACCAATATTGAAAGGAAAAGATAATAATGGAAGGAGCTTAACATGAACCAGAATGTGCTCACAGAGTTAGTGGGATGGGTTCATTGGAATCATGAGGCTCAACCTGTTGAATGAGGTCAACCAGCCTTCATATGTCCTAATGCTCAGCACGAAAGGAGGGTCTACATCTGTAGGGCAGAGGTAAACAGAGATGGTAGTCACACGGCAGGGGGCTCAGCAGCAAGAGGAGGCACAGCACACGGGACGGGGGCAGGTGGAGATGACACAGGTAGGGCGATAACAAGTGGTGTGGCAGGAGACCTGACCACAGACTGGGCGCAGGCAGCAGGAGGGGCAGCAGCAGGAGGGGCGGCAGCAGCTGGAGCCACAGCAGCTGGAACCACAGCAGGAGGGGCGGCAGCAGCTAGAGATGTAGCAGGAGGGGCGGCGGCAGCTGGAGCCACAGCAGCTGGAACCACAGCAGGAGGGGCGGTAGCAGCTAGAAATGCAGCAGGAGGGGCGGCAGCAGCTGGAGCCATAGGAGTTGGAGCCACAGCAGGAGGGGCGGCAGCAACTAGAGATGCAGCAGCTGGGCCTGCAGCAGCTGGAGCCACAGCAGCTGGGACCACAGCAGGAGGGGCGGCAGCAGCTGGACACGCAGCAGCTGGGGCGGCAGCAGGTGGTCCTGCAGCAGGTGGTCTGGCAGCAGCTGGGGTGGCAGCAGGTCTCCTGGCCACAGCCCTGGTCAGAGCAGACGGAGCCACAACAGGAGTTGACCATGGTGTCAGAGGGTGGAGGTTCTGGGTGGGTTTCCAGAAGAATGAGGTTCTCAAGTGTGATCTCTCCCTGCCCTCTGTCACTTTTATACCCTGCTGAGAGCTACTATGACCATGTGCAGGACCCTTCTTGTTGTTTATCCTAATAGAAAATCAGTTAGTTTTAGTAAATTAGATAATTATGTTTATCTGGTAAATATAACTATATATAGAAAAGGCTCCATTTCCTTTTCCTGTTGTACTGTGAGCTCTCTCATTTGGTTAAAACCAATTGAATCAGCTCCCATTATTTCTTCCCTTGTCTGATATTACTTCCAAAGTAGTCCCATCCCATGGCATTGTTTCATTGGATTTCACAAGTATTAAATCTTCATTTATGTATTTAACTCCAGGATAGTATGTTGAGAATGGATTTTATGATGACTAAATCTGCTGTCAAGAGGTTAACAACAAGTCATATGAGAATGCTGGTAGGAAAATAGGATGAAAGAGCCATCTTGGCCGGGGCGGGGGGGGGGTGTCCCTTGTGTGCTGTGGAGAATACTGTGATTCCTTTGGATTTTATGGATGGCCAGTGAGGTATGAAGGATCCTAACAAAGTTCTTATCTGTTTTGTCCTATTGAATCTATTCAATTTGAAAGTTATAATGCAATGATTCACTACTATTAAATAGTAAAAAACCCATTGGCATGAATAGGCCCTTTTAAAAATTATTATGGACATGTTCTTCAGAGATAGGGTATCATAAAGGAGTATTTTTTCTCCTATTTTAGTGGATGAACATACCCAATAGAATATGTATATTGAATATTTTCTTATATTCTGAGCTTTTGTCTCTCAAAAACTTATGTTTGAGGTATTTTGCTTGTTATAAATCATATCTAAGGGGTTAAGCTTTAATCTGTGTCCTGTAGGCACTTGAATAAGACGAACAAGATACATATGTAGGGGTTTGGCAAGCATGTAGAACATTGTTGATAAATAACAATTATGTATTTAAATCTGTACACTTATGAAATATGAGATAATACACTATTTTTGAGTGCCTATTGTATGTCAGGAATTTTGAGTCATCTTTGTTACCTTGTTTATACTTCACAAGGGCTCTAAGAGGTGGTCACAACTTTTCTTAATTCTTCAGACATGAGGTAATTGAGGCTCAGATAGATTGAAGTCATATAGTCAATAGGGTTCTTTCTTAGAAGTTTCAAACAGGTGTGAGGAGTAATCCATGTCCTTTCTCATACTGTTTCATTTGTGTAAGTGTGCTTTCTCCCTTGTCAGTTCAGCAAACTCTTGCTCATACATAAATGTCTAGTCTGGATACCAACTCATCTCTAATGTCTTTCTTGACATCTACCACATTCAAAACGAATCCTTCTTTCCCTTTTGCTCCAAGATATCTGTGCTATAGGGTATCACACTCTATCATAATTGGTTCATATCCCCCCCAATCCTTCTATATACCCCATGAGGTCAGAGATTGGCTTATTCATATAAGCCAATATAGGTATATTTACCATATAAACATGGTGCCTAGTAATTGATCTGAATGAATGTTAGTTGAGTGAATGTGGAATTTATGGAAAACATAGGGCATTTACTCACCCTTTATCATACTATAGATAATCTAGATGGATGGAGAAAAGAAAAACATTCAGACAGTGGGGATATTATTGAATGGGGGTTTATTTTTGGCCTCTGATGGAGTAAATGACTTGTCCGGTTGGTATTTGTAGGATGGTAAAGAAAAATAATAATCCACTGCTAAAATGAGAATGTAAAGATATTCTTGAATTTATGCAAAGAAAGTGGATATTGTATCATCACACAGTTGGGAGAAAGGTGTGAGAGAACATCTAGGCTTTTAAAATATTATTTGGCTGGGGGTGGGTGGAGTGACAGGAAGCAGGAAGAAAGTTTAGGTGATGGTTGCAGGCTAGGGATGAGAGATGAATGCCTGTCTAGATTGGTGGCAATGGGAGCAGTAAGGAGGATAGTGATGCAATCGCACTTCAAAGAGAGTCAACCAGGATCACTTACAAGATGGGCAGTAGAGTTGGCGGGAGAACTCACTTAAAGAGGACGCATAATTTAATATTTTTTTCAATTGTATACACATACATTTTGCAATTAAATTCTGATAGTGAAAAGATAATCATTTGTAATAAAGAAAATATATTTTAAAATCTCACCAGAAACAAAGTAAAAAGACAAATGACTGAATGAAAAAAAAAAAATACTTGCAATTTATACCAAAGACAAAGAGCCAATGACCTTAATATATAAAGCATTTCTAAAATTAGACTGGAGAAGAGGAAAAACCTGATGGAAAAATAAAATGAAGATCTTTCTTCGTCATATAGAGATGCCCAGTCTCACACATAGGAATGGAAATGAAATTATACAGGATACCACTTCTCACCTGTGGGACTGTCAAAAACTCAAAATTTGACAACATTGTCTAATAGATTATGTAGAAATAGGCATGCTTATACCTTTCTTAAAAAGATTTGACAATAATTAGTGGCATTATTCTTTGACTCAGCTATCCCAATTCTATAAATTATCCAAGGTACTCAGGCAAAACTATAAAAAGATGTTATGCAAGATTATTCATGGCACTGCTATTTGTAAAAACAAAACAAGAGCTAGACACAACCTGGGTGTCCTTCAGTAGTGTAGGAGTGAATAAGCCCTGGTGCATCCCCATGATAGAGTACTATTCAGCTGTAAAAAGGAATAAGGAGTATCTTTATATGCTACTATGAAGTAATCTCCAGGATATATTGTTAAGAGATGATAAAGCAGATGGAGCAAAGTGTCTATAGTGTTCTACAATGTGTCTAAACAAATAAAGGAGGGATGTGGGTGGAGGATGGGCTAGATGGGTGAAGGGATTAAGGAAGGCACTTGTTGGGATGAGCACTGGGTGTTATATGTAAGTGATGAATCACTGAATTCTACTCCTGAAACCAATATTACACTATATGTTAACTAGAATTTAAATGAAAATTTGGGAAAAAAATAAGTGCTGATGGGTAGAAATAAGGGAACACATACAGAAAATCTATTTGCTTATATTACATGAATTTTTTTAAATAATTGAAGAACAGAGGGGAAAAAAAGGGACTTATATTTCCTGCTGAGGAGTTTAGGGACTGGATTTACCCTTCTGCCTGAAGCAGCTAAAAAACTAGACAAAATAGGGCGCCTGGGTGGCTCAGTTGGTTGAGCCACTGCCTTCGGCTCAGGTCATGATCCTGGAGTCCCGGGATCGAGTCCCGTATCGGGCTCCCTGCTCGGCGGGGAGTCTGCTCCCTCTGACCCTCCCCCCTCTCATGTGCTTTCTCTCTCTCATTCTCTCTCTCTCAAATAAATAAATAAAATCTTTAAAAAAAAAAAACTAGACAAAATAAATGAAACAGTGGTTTTTAGACATTGGCTGTCGGGTCAGAACACTGGTACCTTAGGGGAAACAAATGAGGTGATCCCTAGAATTGCCTCAGTTTATTTCTTGAAGAGAGTTTCTGGGGGGTGCAGCTCTGGGAGAGAGAACCAGGTAGAGCCTGGTAATCCTCCTGACTTGAGGAGACAGAGTTGGGATGAAGGAGGCCAAGTCAGCAGCAATTCACAGGATAGAGTACCAGAGAAAAGAGAGTTGCACAGAGAACCTCAGAGATCTGCAGAAGGTCCACCTGCATCTTCAGCTGAGTACTTATGAGTGCATGTGCATGAAGAAACTAGCCAAGGGCAGAAAAAGAGCTGCACTGCCCCACCCTACCTCCATAAAAGACAAGGGAAACAATTCTTGGAGCTGACACAGGCCAGAAACAGCACATGCTCCCATGAGCCAGAGTGAATTCAGGGGTCATTGGTTAGAGTATTTAGAATATTGTCTCAGGAGTGGGGCAGTTTTTTCCCTAGAGTAAAGGGTGCTCTGATCCCATCTCACACCGTTTATAAGTAAGTTTTGAAAGGATCAAACTGTTAAATCAACTTAATTGCATCCCAGAGCAATCAATTAATTGGATTCCATCAAAAAAAATTTTACTTTTCAAAAGATGCTATTTAGACAGTAACCTCTTTGATATCGACTGTAGCAACTTTTTTTCTAGATTTGTCTCCTGAGACAGAGGAAACAAAAGCAAAAATGAACTATTGATATTACATCAAAATAAAAAGCTTGTGCACAGTGAAGGAAATGATCAGTAAAACTAAAAAGCAACCAACTGAATGGGAGACGATATTTGCAAATGACGTGTCTAATAAAGAATTAGTATCCAGAATATATGAAGAACTTATAAAACTCAACACCCAAAAAGCGAATAAGCCAATTATAAAATGGGCAGAGGACATGAACAGACATTTCTCCAAAGATGACATATAGATGCTCATCATTATTTGCCATCAGGGAAATACAAATCAAAATTATAATGAGATAGCACCTCACACCTGTCAGCATGGCTACAATCAACAACAGAAGAAAGAACAGGTGTTGGTGAGGCAGTGGAGAAAGGGGAAGCCTCCCATGCTATTGGTAGGAATGCAAACATGGGGGGGGGTGCATCCACTGTGGAAAATGGTATGGAGTTTCCTCAAAAAGCTAAGTAGGGGCGCCTGCGTGGCTCAGTCATTAAGCGTCTTCCTTCAGCTCAGGTCATGATCCCAGGGTCCTGGGATCTAGCCCCACTTCGGGCTCCCTGCTTGGCAGGAAGCCTGCTTCTCCCTCTCCCACTCCCCCTGCTTGTGTTCCCTCTCTCACTGTGTCTCTATCAAATAAATAAAAATTCTAAAAAAAAAAAAAGCTAAAAGTAGAACTACCATATGATCAAGTAATCACACTGCTGGGTCTTCCCTTCCTTCCCCCAAATACCAAAACACAAATTCGAAGGGATACATGCATCCCTGTGTTTATAGCAGCATGATTTACAACAGCCCATGTACGGAAGCCCAAGTGTCCGAGTGTCCACCAACAGATGAATGGATAAAGAAAATGGGGT